GAAAATTTTGAATTTTTTTGACAAAAATCATGTGTTACCCCCTTTGGAAAAATGTCATTTTTAGCCTTCTGAAAAGTTGTTATTTTTTTATTGTAAAATAGATTCTTTTTTATCTAGAAAATAGTGAAACATTATTTCTAGGCTCATTTTGCCCTTAAAAAAGTAAAAGAAGATTTTGTATTTTTTGACAAAAAGCATGGGCTAACCCCTTTGCAAAATGGCCACTTTTGGCGTTCTGACAAGTTGTTATTTTTTTACTCTAAAATAGTTTCCTTTTTTTCTAGAACATCGTGAAACATTATTTCTAGGCTCATTTTGCCCTAAAAAAAAAAAGGAAAATTTTCCATTTTTTGACAAAAATCATGGGTTAACCCCTTTGCAAAATTGCCAGTTTTGGCCTTCTAACAAGTTATTTTTTCACTCTAAAATAGTTTCCTTTTTATCTAGAACATCGTGAAATGTTATTTCTAGGCTCATTTTGCCCTAAGAAACGAAACAGGAAAATTTTCCACTTTTTGACAAAAATCATGGGTTAACCCCTTTGCAAAATTGCCAGTTTTGGCCTTCTAACAAGTTATTTTTTCACTCTAAAATAGTTTCCTTTTCATCTAGAACATTGTGAAACATTTTTCTAGGCTCATTTTGCCCCAAAAAAAGAAAAGGAAAATTTTGAATTTTTTGACAAAAATCATGGGTTAACCCCTTTGGAAAAATGCGATTTTTGGCCTTCTAAAAAGTTTTTATTTTTTTACTCTAAAATAGTTTCCTTTTTATCTAGAACATCGTGAAACATATTTCTAGGCTCATTTTGCCCTAAGAAAAGAAAAGGAAAATTTTGCATTTTTCGACAAAAATCATGGGTTAACCCCTTTGCAAAATTGCCAGTTTTGGCCTTTTAAAAACTTGTTATTTTTTCACTCTAAAATAGTTTCCTTTTTATCTAGAACATCGTGAAACATTATTTCTAGGCTCATTTTGCTCTAAAAAAAGTAAAAGAAAATTTTGCATTTTTTGGCAAAAAGCATGGGCTAACCCCTTTGCAAAATTGCCAGTGTTGGCCTTTTGAAAAGTTGTTTTTTTTTTTTTACTCTAATATAGTTTCCTTTTTATCTAGAACATCGTGAAACATTATTTCTAGGTTCATGTTGCCCTAAAAAAAGAAAAAGGAAAATTTTGAATTTTTTGACAAAAATCATGTGTTAACCCATTTGGAAAAATGCGATTTTTTTACTCTAAAATAGTTTCTTTTTTATGTAAAACATCGTGAAACATTATTTCTAGCCTCATTTTGCCCTAAAAAAAGTAAAACAAAATTTTCCATTTTTTGTCAAAACTCATGGGTTAACCCCTTTGCAAAATTGTCATTTTTAGCCTTCTAAAAAGTTATTTTTTATTGTAAAATAGTTTCTTTTGTATCTAGAACATAGTGAAACATTATTTCAAACCTCAATTTGCCCTAAAAAAAGAAAAGGAAAATTTTGCATTTTTTGACAAAAATCATGGGTTAACCCCTTTGCAAAATTTCCAGTTTTGGCCTTCTAAAAAGTTGTTACTTTTTTACTCTAAAATAGTTTCCTTTTTATCTAGAACGTCGTGAAACATTATTTCTAGGCTCCTTTTGCCCCAAGAAAAGAAAAGGAGAATTTTGCATTTTTTGATCAAAATCAAGGGTCAACCCCTTTGCAAAATTGCCAGTTTTGGCGTTCTAAAAAGTTATTTTTTTACTCTAAAATAGTTTCTTTTTTATATCTAAAACATCGTGAAACATTATTTCTAGCCTCATTATGCCCTGAAAAAAGTAATAGAAAATTTTGATTTTTTTGGCAACAATCATGGGTTAACCCCTCTGTAAAAATGCAATTTTTCGCCCTTATGAAGAGTTATTATGATAGTCGTAAATAGTTTCTTTTTTATCTACAACATAGTATAGTATAGTATAGTATAGTCTAGTCTAGTCTAGTCTAGTATCTGGTATAGTATCTGGTATAGTATAGTATAGTATAGTATAGTATCTGGTATAGTATAGTATAGTATTTCACGATGTTCTAGATAAAAAAGAAACTATTGACGACTATCATAACAACAACTTTTCAGAAGGGGAAAATTTCATTTTTTTATTGTAAAATAGTTTCTTTTGTATCTAGAACATAGTGAAACACTATTTCTAGCCTCATTTGCCCTTAAAAAAGGAAAAGAAAATTTTGCATTTTTGGACAAAAATCATGGGTTAACCCCTTTGAAAAATTGACAGTTTTGGCCTTCTGAAAAGTTGTTATTTTTTATTGTAAAATAGTTTCTTTTTTATCTAGAACATCATGAAATACTATTTCTAGGCTCATTTTGCCCTAAAAAATTCTGAATTTCTTGGCAAAAATCATGGGTTAACCCCTTTGGAAAAATGCGATTTTTGGCCGTTTGAAAAGTTCTTTTTTGTTTACTCTAAAATTGTTTCTTTTCTATTTAGAACATTGTGAAAGACTATTTCTAGACTCATTTTGCCCTAGAAAAAGGAAAATAAAATTTTGAATTTTTTGACAAAAATCATGGGTTAACCCCTTTAGAAAACTGCGATTTTTGGCCTTCTAAAAAGTTGTTATTTTTTATTGTAAAATAGTTTTTTTGTATCTAGAACATAGTAAGACACTATTTCTAGCCTCATTTTGCCCTTAAAAAAAAAAAGGAAAATTTTGCATTTTTTGACAAAAATCACGGGTTAACCCTTTGAAAAATTGCCAGTTTTTGGCCTTCTAAAATGCTGTTCCTTTTTTTTACTGTAAAATAGTTTCCTTTTATCTAGAACATCGTAAAACATTATTTCTAGGCTCCTTTTGCCCCCAAAAAAAAAAAAAAAATTTTGCATTTTTTGATCAAAATCATGGGTTAACCCCTTTGCAAAATTGCCAGTTTTGGCCTTCTAAAAAGTTTTTATTTTTTTACTCTAAAATAGTTTCTTTTTTATCTAGAACATCGTGAAACATTATTTCTTGGCTCATTTTGCCCTCAAAAAAGAAAAAGGAAAATTTTGCATTTTTCGACAAAAATCATGGGTTAACCCCTTTGCAAAATTGCCAGTTTTGGCCTTTTAAAAACTCTTTATTTTTTCACTCTAAAATAGTTTCCTTTTTATCTAGAACGTCGTGAAATACTATTTCTAGGCTCATTTTGCTCTAAAAAAAATAAAAGAAAATTTTTTAATTTTTTGGCAAAATCATGGGTGAACCCCTTTGGAAAATTGCGATTTTTGGCGCTGTAAATTTTTTTTTTTAACTCTAAATAGTTTTTTTTATCTAGAGCATAGTGAAACATTATTTCTAGGCTCATTTTGTTTAAAAAAAGTAAAAGAAAATTTTGCATTTTTCGACAAAAATCATGAGTTAGCCCCTTTGGAATACTGCGATTTTTTTACTCTAAAATAGTTTCTTTTTTATGTAAAACATCGTGAAACATTATTTCTAGCCTCATTTTGCCCTAAAAAAAGTAAAACAAAATTTTCCATTTTTTGTCAAAAATCATGGGTTAACCCATTTGGAAAAATGCGATTTTTTTACTCTAAAATAGTTTCTTTTTTATGTAAAACATCGTGAAACATTATTTCTAGCCTCATTTTGCCCTAAAAAAAGTAAAAGAAAATTCTGAATTTCTTGGCAAAAATCATGGGTTAACCCCTTTGGAAAAATGCGATTTTTGGCCGTTTGAAAAGTTCTTTTTTGTTTACTCTAAAATTGTTTCTTTTCTATTTAGAACATTGTGAAAGACTATTTCTAGACTCATTTTGCCCTAAAAAAAGGAAAAGAAAATTTTGAATGTTTTGACAAAAATCATGGGTTAACCCCTTTGGAAAAATGCGATTTTTGGCCTTCTAAAAAGTTGTTATTTTTTATTGTAAAATAGTTTCTTTTGTATCTAGAACATAGTAAGACACTATTTCTAGCCTCATTTTGCCCTTAAAAAAGAAAAGGAAAATTTTGCATTTTTTGACAAAAATCACGGGTTAACCCCTTTGAAAAATTGCCAGTTTTGGCCTTCTAAAATGCTGTTCCTTTTTTACTGTAAAATAGTTTCCTTTTTATCTAGAACATCGTAAAACATTATTTCTAGGCTCCTTTTGCCCCCAAAAAAGAAAAGGAAAATTTTGCATTTTTTGATCAAAATCATGGGTTAACCCCTTTGCAAAATTGCCAGTTTTGGCCTTCTAAAAAGTTTTTATTTTTTTACTCTAAAATAGTTTCTTTTTTATCTAGAACATCGTGAAACATATTTCTAGGCTCATTTTGCCCTAAGAAAAGAAAAGGAAAATTTTGCATTTTTCGACAAAAATCATGGGTTAACCCCTTTGCAAAATTGCCAGTTTTGGCCTTTTAAAAACTCTTTATTTTTTCACTCTAAAATAGTTTCCTTTTTATCTAGAACATCGTGAAACATTATTTCTAGGCTCATTTTGCTCTAAAAAAAGTAAAAGAAAATTTTGCATTTTTTGGCAAAAAGCATGGGCTAACCCCTTTGCAAAATTGCCAGTGTTGGCCTTTTGAAAAGTTGTTTTTTTTTTTTTCACTCTAATATAGTTTCCTTTTTATCTAGAACATCGTGAAACATTATTTCTAGGTTCATGTTGCCCTAAAAAAAGAAAAAGGAAAATTTAGAATTTTTTGACAAAAATCATGGGTTAACCCATTTGGAAAAATGCGATTTTTTTACTCTAAAATAGTTTCTTTTTTATGTAAAACATCGTGAAACATTATTTCTAGCCTCATTTTGCCCTAAAAAAAGTAAAACAAAATTTTCCATTTTTTGTCAAAAATCATGGGTTAACCCATTTGGAAAAATGCGATTTTTTTACTCTAAAATAGTTTCTTTTTTATGTAAAACATCGTGAAACATTATTTCTAGCCTCATTTTGCCCTAAAAAAAGTAAAAGAAAATTCTGAATTTCTTGGCAAAAATCATGGGTTAACCCCTTTGGAAAAATGCGATTTTTGGCCGTTTGAAAAGTTCTTTTTTGTTTACTCTAAAATTGTTTCTTTTCTATTTAGAACATTGTGAAAGACTATTTCTAGACTCATTTTGCCCTAAAAAAAGGAAAAGAAAATTTTGAATGTTTTGACAAAAATCATGGGTTAACCCCTTTGGAAAAATGCGATTTTTGGCCTTCTAAAAAGTTGTTATTTTTTATTGTAAAATAGTTTCTTTTGTATCTAGAACATAGTAAGACACTATTTCTAGCCTCATTTTGCCCTTAAAAAAGAAAAGGAAAATTTTGCATTTTTTGACAAAAATCATGGGTTAACCCCTTTGCAAAATTGCCAGTTTTGGCCTTCTAAAAAGTTATTTTTTTACTCTAAAATAGTTTCCTTTTTATCTAGAACATCGTGAAACATATTTCTAGGCTCATTTTGCCCTGAGAAAAGAAAAGGAAAATTTTGCATTTTTCGACAAAAATCATGGGTTAACCCTTTTGCAAAATTGCCAGTTTTGGCCTTCTAAAAAGTTGTTATTTTTTTTACTCTAGAATAGTTTCCTTTTTATCTAGAACATCGTGAAACATATTCCTAGGCTCATTTTGCCCTAAGAAAAGAAAAGGAAAATTTTGCATTTTTCGACAAAAATCATGGGTTAACCCCTTTGCAAAATTGCCAGTTTTGGCCTTGTAAAAAGTTATTTTTTTACTCAAAAATAGTTTCCTTTTTATCTAGATCATCGTGAAACATATTTCTAGGCTCATTTTGCTCTAAAAAAAGTAAAAGAAAATTTTGCATTTTTTGGCAAAAAGCATGGGCTAACCCCTTTGCAAAATTGCCAGTGTTGGCCTTTTGAAAAGTTGTTTTTTTTTTTTTTTTTCACTCTAATATAGTTTCCTTTTTATCTAGAACATCGTGAAACATTATTTGTAGGCTCATTTTGCCCTAAAAAAAGAAACAGGAAAATTTTGAATTTTTTGACAAAAATCATGGGTTAACCCATTTGGAAAAATGCGATTTTTTTACTCTAAAATAGTTTCTTTTTCATGTAAAACATCGTGAAACATTATTTCTAGCCTCATTTTGCCCTAAAAAAAGTAAAACAAAATTTTCCATTTTTTGTCAAAACTCATAGGTTAACCCCTTTGGAAAATTGTCATTTTTAGCCTTCTAAAAAGTTATTTTTTATTGTAAAATAGTTTCTTTTGTATCTAGAACATAGTGAAACATTATTTCAAACCTCAATTTGCCCTAAAAAAAGAAAAGGAAAATTTTGCATTTTTTGACAAAAATCATGGGTTAACCCCTTTGCAAAATTTCCAGTTTTGGCCTTCTAAAAAGTTGTTACTTTTTTACTCTAAAATAGTTTCCTTTTTATCTAGAACGTTGTGAAACATTATTTCTAGGCTCCTTTTGCCCCAAGAAAAGAAAAGGAGAATTTTGCATTTTTTGATCAAAATCATGGGTCAACCCTTTGCAAAATTGCCAGTTTTGGCGTTCTAAAAACTTGTTATTTTTTTACTCTAAAATAGTTTCTTTTTATATCTAAAACATCGTGAAACATTATTTCTAGCCTCATTATGCCCTGAAAAAAGTAATAGAAAATTTTGATTTTTTTGGCAACAATCATGGGTTAACCCCTCTGTAAAAATGCAATTTTTCGCCCTTATGAAGAGTTATTATGATAGTCGTAAATAGTTTCTTTTTTATCTACAACATAGTATAGTATAGTATAGTCTAGTCTAGTCTAGTTAATCTGGTATAGTATCTGGATAGTATTTGGTATAGTATAGTATAGTATAGTATAGTATAGTATAGTATCTGGTATAGTATATATAGTATTTTCACGAAAAAAGAAACTATTCTAGAAAATAAAAACATAGTGAAACACTATTTCTAGCCTGACGACTTTCAAAACAACAACTTTTCAGAAAATTGGGAAAATTTTATTTTTTTGTATTAGTTTCTTTTTTATCTAAAATAGTTTTTCTTTTTTTTATCTAGAACATAGTGAAACACTATTTCTAGCCTCATTTTGCCCTTAAAAAAGGAAAAGAAAATTTTGCATTTTTGGACAAAAATCATGGGTTAACCCCTTTGGAATACTGCGATTTTTGGCCTTTTGAAAAGTTGTCATTTTTATAGTGGTAAATAGTTTCTTTTTTATCTAGAACATCGTGAAACATTATTTCTATGCCTATTTTGACCCAAAGAAAGTAAAAGAAAATTTGTGAATTTTTTTACGAAACATATGGGTTAATCCCTTTGGAACAATGCGATTTTTGGCCTTCTGAAAAGTCGTTATTTTAATAGTTGGAAATAGTTTTTTTTTTAATCTAGAACATTGTGAAACATTATTTCTAGGCTGATTGTGCCCTAAAAAAAGTAAAAGATAATTTTGAATTTTTGGACAAATATTATGGGGTAATCCCCTTAGAAAATTGCGTTTTTGGCCTTATTAAAAGGTTTTATTGTCATGGTCTAAAAAAATTTAATAATCTAGAACATCGTACAACATTACTTCTAGGTTCACTTTTCCGTAAAATAAATTTTAAAAAAAATTGGAATTTTTTGACAAAAATCATGGGTTAACCCCTTTGCAAAAGTTCACATTTTTAGGATTAATATTTTTATTTCCTAGAAAGGCTTGTTTTCTATTAAGAACATCTCTAAACATTATTTCTTTGTTGACTTTGCCCAAAAATAAACTGTGAAAAAAATAAATAACTTTTTTGACCATACTCGTAGGTTTGAAAAATTTTTTATTTTTACAACTATATAAAATTGATATTTTTATTGTCTAATCAGTCATGTTTTGATTTTGGGCAAGCTAGACTAAGAAATAATGTTTGTCCATGTTCAATATTCAAAGGACGTTGTCCTACACACACAAAAATAATTTGAGATAGTTGTAATGTTGGATGATTATGGTGAAACATTTAAAATTTCTTATGCTGCACACCAACCCACTGTGGTAATCCTTGTTCCTCACATAAATATAGACACCCAAAAAGTAATGTCAACTTTCGGTTTATTGGCAGGGTGCAAAGAAAGTTGTGTCCAATAGCCGGGGGCTAGTGGATTTCTCTATTGGGCTAGTGATTTTTGTTCTAAACTTGCCTGACGGACAAATGCTGTTTTTTGGGGAAATTCAAAATACAGAAGGATTGTAATCAATCCTGCTAATCAAAAAGGGTTTTGGGGCTAGTCGAAATGACTTGAGGGCTAGTACATGCTAGCTACAGCTTGCCCGAATGGCAAGCTGTAAAACTGACTTTCTTTGCACCCTGATTCGTCTGGAGAAATTACAGAGACTTACAGTAAGATTATCTAGTTAACTAGTGTATACGCAAGCAGTTTAAACACTATTTTTAGGAATCTTTGTTTTAATTAACGCTAAGAGAAATGGGGTTGTGGAACAACAGCTGGGTGAAAAACCTCCCCGTACGTCCACTTGCCCCTAGGAGGAAAACCCCAGGCCAGCTGTACCCCATTTTACAGGTCTCCTGGGCTGACTAGCAATGAGTTACTAATCGAAATTGCTCATAGAATAATCAGATACCTTGAACCAAAGAAAATGACACAGAAACATAAATAAGTGTCTGGATGCTTAACATAGCTTTTTTTCCCAGAGTGCTGCAGCATCACTATATTGGGCCGTTTTGCTGGATTCAATGAAATGCAAAATGTCCTTGATCTTGAAAACTGCACAAAAGAGTTCATATCACACACTTGTATCAGCTCAACTGGGAAATTAACTGCTGTAACTGAGGAATTCTGAGAAGAGTCTTTGTGGTTGCATAGTGGGCTGGTGGGCCCGTAAACACTGTGTTCCAATGAAAATGTGCTGTGTCTGCAGGACTGAGGTAGCTACCACTGACAATTCTGTAATTTTCTGGCTCGGCAAGAGATTCTGTCTTTGTCTCTTTATCAACTAAATCAGATTAAGGGTGTTGTGGAAGAGTGATGCCAGAAACGATGGCAATTTATGATGTGCATGGATCGGAGAAGAACATGCTGAATAACAAAAAAAATAAAAATAAATAAGATATTACTATATAAAAAATTAAGAGAAAAATACATAAAAAATACTTGTGTTATTGGTTAGTTTCACAATAGCATTCTGGAATCTATGGGAAAAGTAACATTCAAAAGAGCAAAGACTTACCAGCAATCCGTTTCAATTTCAAAATCTGTTCGACAAAACAGCATTGGCTTCTCCAGTTCAGCTCATCAGCTGTCCTCCTAATAGCAGACCAGTAACCTTTGCATGACAGTTCCTGATGAGATATAAAAGATTAAAGATACTTAATAATACTAATTCTAATGCCAATACTAATGATAATAATAATAATAGTGATGATGACGATGATGATAACAAATAATAATTAAAATGTGAATAGTGCGTATCCAGTCCAGCACTAGCTAGGCATACAAGCTTATGGGAAAAAATTCTAAACCAATATATAACTAGAAGTAATCGGATCTTAGGAGAGTGCGTTCGATATGTTTGTTAGGCATACAGGGAGCAGTTGAGGGGGAAGGGTGGTTGCGATATAGATAAATATGATTATGGCATATTTTGCACGTAAGGGTTGCATACAGCAAAACCTCCATTTAAACTGTGTATCATTATAAGAAGGTTTTGAAAAGATGTCGTATGGTTCGGTGTCAAGTGCTTGTAATCAGAGAAGACATTGGCCAGAGTGCGTCGGGCGTGTAAAATAGAACATTTTGTTTTACTGGCGTGATTACAGGGCATAGTTGTTCAAAGGCTAATTAGTGCTTAACCCGGAATTCTTTTTCTTTCTTCAAAAACATTTCTTCGGATAATTTTCTCTGTTATTTTTAAGAGCTCCAATCATCAACTTGTTGACAAAATGAATTAAATTGAATTTACTGTTTTAAAAGCTTTCACATCTGAATTCAAACTTCGCACTAACCCTGTCAAAGGTCAGGTGCAAAAAAGGATAAAATATAATCACTTACCATCAAACTACAGCACTTTCAAAATCTGGAGGACCCAAATAGCAGTGGCTTTCCCATTTCAGATCTGTTTTCTCCGTCCTTGCAGACCAGTTAGTTATCTTGAAATTTCCTTCCTACTACCTTCCAGAAAAGATATAAAAGATATATCAATATATATATATATAACAGTTAAATTTAAAGCAGTGTGTACCGGCATAAACTGAATTCTCTTAAGTAAAAATGAATTCTTCAGTTCTTGCAAATCCTGTCATTTAACTGCTGATGACAAACTTCTGTTTTTTCAAGGATGTGTGCAGGAGCGATAATCATAACCATGGAGTTGAGAGGTGGGTTCCTATGTTTGCCAGGTTGACACAAAAGCAAAAAGGGAAGGCATCAGGGATGCACTTGTAGTTGAACACTACAAGTAGGGAAGAACAGTCAGTATGAGTTTTTGGTTTAAAGTGTGGCCAGTTCTATAATATCTGATCTCTTGTGTTATGCAGATTAAGTGACACCGGCTTCTGCCGAAACAGTTCATCGGCCACATAACACCACTACACCTTCCACAAGTTCAGCTTTCATAGGAATCTGGCCTGACACAAGCATCCAGCCACCGTTAGGAATCCAATGTCATACAAGTATCTTCCGCAGTTTCCAGTCTAATATCTGGAATGTATGGGGCAGGCATCAGGGATGCAGTTGTGAATCGCTGATCACAACAAGTCAGTGCAAGTGCTGCCTGTGTAGGCATGTTGAGTCTCCTTGATTTCCTGGAGTTGGGTTCCTCCAATTACCAGATTGAAACTACAGCAAAAAGGGCACACAACAGGGATGCACTTGTAGTTGAACACTACAAGTAGGGAAGAACAGTCAGTATGAGTTTCTGGTTTCCATACTCACTGGTTTAAAGTGCGGCCAGTTCTATGATATCTGATCTCTTGTGTTATGCAGATTAAGTGACACCGGCTTCTGCCGAAACAGTTCATCGGCCACATAACACCACTACACCTTCCACAAGTTCAGCTTTCATAGGAATCTGGCCTGACACAAGCATCCAGCCACCGTTAGGAATCCAATGTCATACAAGTATCTTCTGCAGTTTCCAGTCTAATATCTGGAATGTATGGGGCAGGCATCAGGGATGCAGTTGTGAGTCGCTGATCACAACAAGTCAGTGTGAGTGCTGCCTGTGTAGGCACGTTGAGTCTCCTTGATTTCCTGGAGTTGGGTTCCTCCAATTGCCAGTTTGAAACTACAGCAAAAAGGGCACGCAACAGGGATGCACTTGTAGTTGAACACTACAAGTAGGGAAGAACAGTCAGTATGAGTTTCTGGTTTCCATACTTACTGGTTTATAGTAAGGCCAGTTCTATGATATCTGATCTCTTGTGTTATGCAGATTAAGTGACACCGGCTTCTGTCGAAACAGTTCATCGGCCACATAACACCACTACACCTTCCACAAGTTCAGCTTTCACAAGAAACTGGCCTGACACAAGCATCCAGCCACCGTAAGGAATCCAATGTCATACAAGTATCTTCTGTGGTTTCCAGTCTGATATCTGGAATGTATGGGGCAGGCATCAGGGATGCAGTTGTGAATCGCTGATCACAACAAGTCAGTGTGAGTGCTGCCTGTGTAGGCATGTTGAGTCTCCTTGATTTCCTGGAGTTGGGTTCCTCTAATTGCCTGATTGAAACTACAGCAAAAAAGAGCAGGCATCAGGGATGCTTTTGTAGTTGAACACTACAAATAAGCAAGAAGCATTAGTATGTCTTGAGTAAAATGGTTTCCATACTTACAGGTTTATAGTGCGGCTAATTCTATGATATCTGATCTCTTGTGTTATGCAGATTAAGTGACACCGGCTTCTGCCGAAACAGTTCATCGGCCACATAACACCACTACACCTTCCACAAGTTCAGCTTTCATTGGAATCTGGCCTAACACAAGCATCCAGCTGACAATAAATAATAATTAAAATTCGTGTAGTTCTAATCCATTCCAGTACCAGGTGCTTCATACAAGCTTATGGAAAGAACCTAAACTAATATATTCTTAAAAAGATAAGTCTGAAGTTGATATTTAAAGGTCAGGTGCAAAAAAGGATATAATATAATCACTTACCATCAAACTACAGCACTTTCAAAATCTGGAGGACAAAATAGCAGTGGCTTCCCCATTTCAGTTCTGTTTTCTACTTCCTTGCAGACCAGTTAGTTATCTTAAAATGACCTTCCTACTAAATTCAAGAAAAGATGTAAAAGATATATACAGATATATAACAGTTAAATTTAAATCAATGTGTACCAGCATAAAGTGGATTTACTAAAGTAAAAATGAATTCTTCAGTGCCAGTCAACTGCTGATGACAAACTTCTGTTTTCCAAGGATGTGTGCGGGAGCAATGATCATAACCATGGAGTTGAGTGGTGGATTCATATGTTTGTCAGGTTGACACCAAAGCAAAAAGGGCAGGCATCAGGGATGCACTTGTAGTTGTACACTACAAGTAGGGAAGAACAGTTAGTATGAGTTAATGGTTTCCATACTTACTGGTTTATAGGTTGACCGGTTCTATGTTTGCTGATCTCTCGTGGCATGTAGATTATTAAGAGTGGGCTCTTTGAGACGATCTGAATGAGGATAAGTGGTCTGAGATCACTCGGATCATGATAGATCAAATGAATTGATCTACCATGATCCAAGTGGTCTGGGATCTCCGATCCTAGTAATATCCTTATCATCCCAAAGGTCAACCCACCCCAAGTGACACCGGTTTCTGTCGAAACAGTTCATCGGCCAAACACCACTACACCATATCCACAAGTTCAGCTTTCATTGGAATCTAGTCATACACAAGCAACCAGACACTGTAAGGAATCCAATCTCATACAAGTTGTATCTTCCATAAGTTTCCAGTCTAGTATCTGGAATGTATGGGGCAGGCATCAGGGATGCAGTTGTGGAGCAGTGATCCCAAAAAGTGTAGAGGAACAGTCAGTATGAGAACTGACTGAGTATGCATGTTGGGTATCAAATGAAGGGAATCCAATTTCCCTAGCATCTCCATGCATGACTGGTTGTGTCTTACACAATCTCTTGTCAGTTAGCAGTCAAAAGTTTTCTTTGTCAGCTGCACAAAGAGCGGTGAAATTCTTCTAGTATGCTGATGTCCAAGATTACTTCGACATGAGGTGTTTTACAAGGCAGGGTTGTTAGTCCTGCACTAAACCCCCAACCTGGAGGACCAGGGTGCTGTTTAGTCTGGCCCCTCTCCCCTAGACCAATCTGGCATGGTTGAACCTGCTAGGAGCATAAGCTCCCGCCGTCAAAGCTCTAAGGGTCATAAGGGCACGCAAGCCTCCCCGCCACGTCAAGGCACAGCACCAGGGGAGGAAAGTGCTTAATCCTTAAATGCTTTACAGCCTTCCATGCTGATTTTGGATTAAGGTTAGAGAATCCAAGATCATTGAGGTACATGTATATCCTAAGTTTATGATAACGAACAACAATGTACAACAGTTCTCCTTCCTCTCTTAAGTTTATGGGTGACAGAGTGTCCCAGCGACAACAAACAGCATCTTATTATGTAAATAAATACAGTAGAAGCCTGGCAACTCAAACTGTGAAGGGAAACAAAAATCAGTTCAAGTTAGCGAGGGTTCGATTTATTGGGATTGATTGAACAATCAATTTGCCAAAATTGGAAATGGAACTTAGTTTAAGTTAGTGGGGAGTTTGAATTTTTGGGGTTCTACTATAATGAATAACCTCCTATTTATAACCTACGTACATAATAACATGATATGATCTAAAGATAACATGCACTCTAGTTATAAAAGCTTGATCTATTTTGCATTTGCCAGCTTTGATTGCTCATGAAAATTTATTGAGGTCTTGAATATTTGATACTAATTACTAATATTTTCACTAGACTTACTATAGCTGTAAAATAGATATTATGCTATGATCCATGTTGATAGTTCATCATTTATTATTTACTCACAAATCTTTAATTGCACTTCTTTGAGGTAGACATAGCTGCTCTGCAGTTTGCCCGTCCCTCATTATCAGTGCTAATCTTAACATCTAACTTTTTTGTTCTGTTTTTATACACACAACACCCTTGTATACACACATCCTCCCTTCCCACCTTACCCACTATTTTAGTGGAGACTTGAGAACCCTTTCATTAGGGATTCCATACCACACCTGTAATGCCACAAAGGTTGCTAGATATATCTACTGTCCCTTTTTTTTTTTTTTTTTTTTTTTTACATAGCTGTAAAAAAAATATTTTGCTATGATCCATGTTGATAGTTCATCATTTATTACTCACAAATCTTCAATATATTGCTTCCAGTTATAAAATAATAATCACCTGCATTAACATATAGACTAAAATCTCTTCTTAAAACACCCCAAAACAGCTGCAGTAGCTAACTAAAACCACAAAAGGAGCTTTGAAACAATAAAAAAAGCTGAAATGCATGTACAGTGGAACCCCGCCTTACGACCACCCCGTTTATGAGACCACCTCGTTATTACAGCCATATTCTTTCAAACCAAACGTAAAAATCATTGAGTCATTTTATTATTTTGAAGACCCCGTTAATGCGACCACCTCGTTATTACGACCAGGATTTTATGGCCCAGCGGTGGTCGCATTAACGGGGTTCCACTGTATGTAGCAGTTTCTCAAATAGACTGTAGGCAAGCTTAATCTAACCTATACCAGCATTGGGGCTCTACAGGTGATAAAAATTCATACACCTTTCTTTCGCTCCAACTGTTCCTTTCTTGTACCTTGCACGTTTCTGAAGCCATCGAATATAATTACATGGACAAAATTAAAGTCTGATGCGCTTATACTTGGAACTATAACTCCTTTTATTTCCCATATTTCATCCCTATGGAAAGAAAAATGTGTAAACAAAAAATTAAAGTAAATTCCATTGTAACTGTATCCGTAGCGCTTGACCAACTACTGTATCTTGACTTGGGCATTGGAGAAAAGGGAAAAGACATGCAAGTTTGTCTCAAGAATGTTCATAATTTACATTTACATTTAACTGCTGCCTTCCTAGTTAGCTCAGTTGGGAGAGTGCCGGTCTGCCAACCAGGAGGTTGCGGTTCAGACCCTGGCTGGACTAACACTTGGGGTCTTTAAACGACTGAGAAGAAAGTGCAACCTTGGTACAGGGTTCTCAATAGAAGGCGGCACCCGGCGATTGATCGCCGCTTACTTTCGGATTTATAGCCGCTTACTTTGTGTTTAAGTCGCTTTTCTTTGCTTTGTTTTGACACCTCTGGCTTTGCTGAAGAGCCTCCTACTTTATCTGTGATCACCTCCTACTTAAAAATCTATTGAGAACCCTGTTGGTAATGACATCTTCAAATGGTTAGACTTTCTAGTCTTCTCGGATAAGGACAAAAAACCGTAGGTCCCGTCTCACAGCACTTTCACTGATTTGTTCTTGTAGGACTTGAAAAACAAACACATCACTATTTGAAAAGAGTAGGGGTCATAGACCCTGGTGGCGTGGCCAACCTTTATGGGTGGGATTGGGTAGGGATGGCACCTGCATGGGACCAGAATCCTATTTGGCACCGTCCCTCTGGGCAAGCACATGTTCAGAATAACTGGTAAATAAATATGGTGGAACCCTGATTTAACATAGTCCTTGATATAATGTACGATTTTCTTTACCCCAATAATAGTAAAACATATGAGAGAGAACCCTGATATAAGTTACAAAACCTTGTTAGAATGAACAAACTTTGTCAGTCCCTTGGCCCTTCATTAAATTGAGGCTCCACTGTAAAATTATCACAGAAGCGTAATACTGACGGAAAATGCTGAACCTCCAGGGGAGGATGTTTACTAGGACCACTGAGTATGGCAGCTCTGCAACACTGTGTGACTTTTTATAACGTTATGACTTTGCAACAGGCCTAAGTACAGGTCACTTTTCCACAGGTCACAGTTAAGGTCACCATGTTAGAGATAAATAAACAGCAAGTGTCTCCTGGCGGGGGCCTAATCTCCTAACAAAATACTCTATTAGATCGAGGGGAATCTGTGTAGCTTGGTACGTGTAGTTTATTGATGGAGCAGTGACCTCAACTCATGTGACCAGTACTTTAGACCCGGCAACAACTTTGACTTGGTTGGTCAGAGGAAGCTTAGGCAACTGCCACTTTGAAGGCAGCTACAGAAACACAAAAAAGTGAATTTATGTTCTTTTATTTTGCTTTGCTCAATAAGTAAAATGTGGATGAATTTTTTTGGAGCTCAAGGGAGAACCAGCAATCATTAGCAAAATTCTAACAATAGTCATGAAATGGATTTCAAAGAAATGAATGCAAATAAATGTGTGGTAAACATGCAGGGCTACTCCTTGCTCATGATAAAAGTTGTTTTTTTGGATGTTCTCATTGTTGTTGCGATTCCCTGCTAACAGAAGCTTCTTTTCCATGATATTCAGCGGGCAGGAGGAAAAAAACCTCTGCCATGCCATGCCATGCCATGCCATCACACAAAAGGTTTGACACATGACCAAGTTTCAAACAAGGCAATGACAGGCTAAACACAACTCATAAGCTTGTGATAGTGCGAAACGTGACCTTGGAGGTTTTCCCTCTTTTCTTTCTTATATACGAATGTTATGCAGTGCATGGAGTACAGGCGCTAGGAGCATCTAAACTTTTTTGCTGTCACAAGTATTTTAGAGTTCCCAAACTTGGTCTGTTTTATGCATTTTGTGGTTTGTTCAGTCAGAGAGCCAGGTTTGATCTCAGATGCAGTTTAGCACTGCTGACCTCCATTAAAAGTTTGTTTCTCTGTTTTCTCCAGAGTACTTGGCAGAACAGCTACACGCATTTTTTGCCCCTGAATGTGACGATTTTCATTTCCTGCTCTGCTTTGACTCCAGCTGCGTCATACGGCATGA